CCCCCCCCCTCATGATCTCCGTACGTGAACCCTCTTAATTCAGTTTCTAACTCTTCTCAATTGCATTCTTGTTGTTTTCTTGCATTAAATTACCATCAATTGCATTAATGCTATGTTTTAAAATTGAAAAATCGCCTTTTGGATTACAATTAGGTGATGTTTGGCATCGTTTCTTTGTTTTTGAAATCAGTAATTTTTCAAAAGAACCTCTCAGAGTCCATGAATCAGTCAAGAATCTGTGAGCCACTATTATATTAGTTACTGTTATCTAGCTACATATGAACACATGCAACCGAGGATGAGTCTGTACCTGCTGCTGGAAAGTGGTTTTTATAACAACTAACAACTACGGGTACACTAACTAGAATGGAGACCAAGATATGGTGGAGAAGGTGCATATAGTCTCCCTTTTTCCTTTGATGCTCTTCTAGCTGCTATGGAACTTTTGTATAGGAGAGTATTCGAGAAGCACTGATATAGAACTAGTTGATAAAAGCTTCTTGGAGGTCCATGATCACAAAGAATAGAAAAAAAAAGGCCCAAACAGGAACTAACACTTCAAACGACCATAACTCTTGATCAAGCTATCTGCTTTTGGCATATAATAGTATGTCAAAACAACCATCTCAAAGAGAACTATGTGCTAGCAAACGAATCCTTCAAAGAGAACTTGTGGCTTCAAGATATTTCTTTTTTTTGAATAGGGTAAAATACAAAAAACTCCCCTGAATTTTCTGGTTATCATAAAAACCTCCCCTTTAGTTTCATTTTAATAAAAACCTCCCTAAATTTTCAAAAAACTAAACAAAAACCTCCCTTTCGTCATTTACCCAGACCAGAAACGTAATAAACTTATGCAATTACCCCTGACTAATCTGCACGGCGTCATTTACCAACGCTGCATTTTAGATGATAAGTTGAAAAAATGCCCCTTACCATTTGTCCGTCTTCCTGAAAGGAACAACGGTGCTCCTTTAATTTAAACACACGTATTGAGTATCGATTGGGCCAAAATTGTTTCTCAATTCAGGGCTTATCTGTTACAGTTTACAAGCCATTTTCAAATTCACTTCTTGAATGGAAGCTCCTGCTCCTCTCTCTTTGTCTCTTTAATTGCACCACTGTAATCTGTAGTTTCCCATTCACTTGGGGCCGGGTGAAGCCTAAGATTGACTCCCATGTGATTCTTTCTGAGTTTACGAGCGAGCGAGTGAGCAAATGAGAGACAACAGATAGACATGCAGACAAATAACCAATGGCTGTTGATGATGCGCAATCCGGCCGGTCTTAGCTGTCAATGACCTTGCCTCTGAACTAAGTAGCAGGGAACCTGAAACGGAGGAGATGAGGAAGCTCCAGGGGAACCCGGTGTGAAGGCTTCGAAGCTCAAGTTAGAATCCTTCAAAGGCAAGATAAAACCAGATAGCGCAAAGTTTGCTTACCTCCTCTTTGGGGCGGTGGAGAGCTTTTTATAACCACCTCGCGCACTCACTCCTAGACTTTTATCAGGTCGGGTATGATTACTTCCGTGCTTCTGCCAGTTCGGGTGTCATCGCCTCTGCTGGGGCAGAACCGTCACTGCTCTTTTTGTCGGAGCCGTCTCTGTAACTGGAGATGGCGGTGG